AATTTAGCTGCACTTCCACCATCAGAAGATGCAGCTAAATTACATTTTTTAAAAGTTTATTACCAAGTCCATACTTGGCTTGGTAATAAATTACAAGAAGAACATTGGGACTGGAAACGTGATCGGTTAGGTATGACTCCAATTATCATGACACAAAATCCAGCGCCCAATGAACTGCTAAAAATGATTTTTTGTGGGTGCAAATCTGGCTGTGGCAACAATTACGGCTGCAGGAAAGTAGGGTTGATTTGCACCGCAACATGTTCTTCCTGTGCTGGCATTGATTGCCTTAATTGCCCAGTTATTTTTGAAAAAGAGCAAGAACTCGATGAGTGTTAAAAATTATTTATTTAGTAATAAATTTGTTTTTTAAAAAATAAAACATATTTTCAATAAAACCTCTTTAGCCATAATAGCCATAACTGTTAAATAAATAAATTGTTTAAAATAGTCGGCCATATTGGATCAGCCATTTTGAATTTTCATTTTTGGACATCATATTCTTGTTTAGCGACGTCAAAGACCCTATATTACAAATATAAGCGAGTTTGATTTAAAATCAATAATTGTTAAATAAATTGTTTTATATAGTCAGCCATATTGGATCAGCCATTTTAAATTTTTATTTTCCGACATCATATTCTTGTTTAGCGACCTCAAAAACCCCTATATTACAAATATAAGCAAGTTTGATTTAAAATCGATAATTGTTTAAAATAGTCGGCCATATTGGATCAGCCATTTTGAACTTTCAATTTCCGACTTCATATTCTTCTTCAGCGACATCGAAAACCCCTATATTTTCACTTTGAAAGAATTTGATTTAAAATTCATTGAATTATTTTAAATGTTCTTAAACAAATGATTTATTATTGTTTAAACAATTAATAAATAACTTTTTTCTAATACTTATCTCCAAGTAATTTGAAGTTTTATGAAAATCCATGCTTCCCATAATTATTTCGAAATAATGCATAATTTTAAGCTATCTTGACTCCACTATGTCTGCTAATATAATTTTCACTAACAAAATTTGACAAATACATTTTACACAAAATAGAAAAACAAAACAATAAGTTAAATAAATTTAAAAAATAATTTAAAACAAAAAACTATCAAAATACATTTTCAATATGGGCACCTTCCACCTCCACACACTTCCTAAGTCTACGAATGTTATTTGTTTGTACACGAAAAAGCATTTCTGGTGTATGTCTAATATTATCACAATGGAAATTAATTCTTTGTAGCAATTCATCCCTTGTCTGCACTGGGGTTGCGTACACTAAACTTTTTAGGTATCCTCACAGGAAGAAGTCCATCGGGTTAAAGTCTGGAGAATGTGGTGGTCATAAAATTCTTCCAATCCATTTATTATTAATCTCGATGGATAAATAATTTCGTACATAAATATTGAAATGGGGAGGAGCCCCATTGTGTCTAATGGAACATCGTCTAATAGTGGTAAAAACTCCAAATATTAATAATAATAATAATAATAATAATAATAATAATAACCTAAAATATTACAAACTAAAATCAAATTATATGTACACAAAGTTAGTTACATAAAAGTTACAAAAAGAGTTGCTGAACTCAATGATTGAGGAAATAACTATTGTTTTGTTATTTCCTCAACCATTTCTTCAAATTGGTTCACCATTCCCCTTATCCGCTTCACTGAAGCGGTATTGGAACGTTTTCTTCGTTCCAGAGTGAATTCCCGTTCGTCGAGAAGCCGCAATTGCTCCCTGAGCGCCTCCCTCTGTTCACGAAGAAATCGTTCCTCGCCCTTCAGTGCCACGGTGAGCTCTTCCTCTCTCCGTAACTTTTTTTTCAATTGTGCCATTTCCCTGGCCTTGCGTTGAGCCCATTCGGCCCTCTGTTGAGCTTCTTCCTCCCTCTGTCGTCTCTCTTCCGCCAAGGAAGCCACCCATTCATCCTCGGCAATGGAATTAGTTGCCGGAGTTGACG